GACCGACACACTGTGTAGCATGTGTTTAATACCTGGAAGTGCAAACATTTTCCCAGTAAAGTTCATAGCTTTATGTACTTTATAAATAATGTATTAATTGAGTTATGTATCTGTATGAATATCAATATAGTTTATTTGTTATAAATTTCACAAAACGTGCACTTCTATTCTTTGTACATAAACATCTAAATAAGAACTGGCAGATCAGACGGAAAAACCTTAATCGCAACTTTTCGATATGGACCTCGTGCTTAAGTGATAAGGACATGCCTATGTTAGACTCAAATACCGTATCCGTTCTCTGTATTCATTATATTATGTTCGAGGTCCTTATCATAAGTCTGACGGAAAAGATCGAACAATTTTAATTGCCCGGGGGCGGTAGGATCGTAGGTTTTCCATATATGTATATAGCAAAAAATTTAAGAATCTTCTTCTCTGAATTGACAAAGGCTAGTGGTTAGATATTTGGCATGAAACAATAATCCAGAACCCCTGGGTCACAATTGGCCTCGTCGCGGGGCTCATTGACTTTCTCATGTGCATAAGTAGGTCACATTTCCAGAAAAGGAGTTTTGAAACAGCAAAATCAAAAAAAATATTCTTGTCGTTCGAAGATACAAGGCACAGAGCTTTGGTATTTTGGTATATAATGATTATCACTACTAAATAATTCTACATCTAGAATTATAAAATACTTGAACTGTAATAATTTACAATAACTAACTAAAGAAAGACCTCTGAGTCTCACCCAGGCCAGTATTGTCATACAACAATGTGTAGGTAGATATTATATAAAATGTAACTGTACAGTTTTACAGGCAAAGGATGAGTAATTTGTTGAAAAAAGTAATAATGATCGACATCTGTTACTGATTACGTCAGATCGAAACAGTACATATCCTATAGAGAGTTTAAATCACTACATATATGATTAGATATCATTATCATACAAATCAATAAATTTAAAAACTTGACAATGTATATGAAATCTAAGGACTGTAATTTAGACTAGTTGTACATGATGTTTATGACAAAAAAAGATCTTCTGAGCATGAAAAACGGGGAGAAAAAACTGAAGAATTACTGATGAGGCAAAAAAGGTAGAGAACTATGAGGTGAGATAAGAAGTATGCAGGTATAAAAGACTAGAAATATGAGGGTGAGATAAGAAATATGATTGTAAAGACTAGAAATATGAGGGGGGTGGGGGTATAAAAAATATGGATGAAAAGACTAGAAATATGAGGGTGAGATAAAAAAAATGGCTGAAAAGACTAGAAATATGAGGGGTTAGATAAGAGGAACGAGGAATAAGGCAAGATGTATGAGGGGTCAGGGAAGAAGTGAGAGGATTGAGGCAGAAAGGAGATAAGAAGTATGAGTTATTGAGGCAAGAAATGTAGTGGTTGAAACAAGAAATATATGTGAAGACATCAGAGGTATTAGGGGTGAGGTAAAAGTTGTAAGTGTGGAGATAAGTGATATGAGACTGATACAAGACATATAAGGGGTGCGACAAGATTTTTCAAATGAAAGCAAACCAGAATTAGGAGAGGTAACGCAAGGATTATGAGAGGAAAATAAGAAGTATATGGGATGAGGCAAGAAAAGATTGAAATGAGTTTGACGCAGGAAATTTTAGAGTTGAGAGCAGAAATAAAAGTTGTGAGAAAGCAATTTGAGGGATTAGAGTAGAAATATGAGAAGAGAGACCATTAATTTGCGGGTTGAGACAAGGAGAGAAAAAGGTAGAGAGAAGCAGTGCGAGAGTTGAAACAAGAAGTCTAAGGGGTGAATAGCTATTATTGCATATTTTGACATCATTTTGGTATTTTACGTGCAATTTAAGTGGCGTTTGAAATGTTTAAGTTACTTTTTCTATTTACTTAACAATATTTTACTTTTAAATCCATTTTCAAAATTTTCGTAAAAATAATCATGAATCTGGAGGCATTCTGCTTCAAAAAGTAATCAGAATACAGTGTGATCCTGTCGACAGGCGGGCCTTTAAGTACTTTTATGTAAATGAGATTCGGTCATTTTTGAGTTTACTCTTGTAGTACACGTGTGTCTCCCTTCTCGGTTCACGGATTATATTGTGATTTCAACTTACATAAACACGTTAAAGAATCAGGTGCGCAACACAATATTAAATTGCTCTTGCCTGACAAATGAACTTTTCTGTGTCTCCAGTGTACTTCTATGCCAGGTAACAGGTTTAAGGGTCAGGCATAATAAACGTGAGGCGGGGTTAAGGATAGGCCTAGTGAGCTTTAAACAAGTTATAATCAATATTTTTGCATCAGAATTATCTTTATAAGCAATTGCAACACAGATGATTAATCATTACATCTACAACTTCTGTAGGATTCAATTGTTGACATGGCAGGAAAACTATTTCTTTCGAAAGCGGTGAGTTATAATTGTAATATTTATTGCAATTTTTCTTATCAATATTAGATTTCTAAAAAACATTTTTTTAAAATATCACCTGTGTTGCAAACAAAAAGTTTTCACATATTAGGAACTGTACCACGATATATGGAATTCTTCTGATAATATGTATCGTGTTTTATTGTGATGGCTGTTACGTGTTTTATTCTGATAGTTGTTACGAGTTTTATTCTAATAGTTGTTACGAGCTTTATTCTAATAGTTGTTACGAGTTTTATTCTGGTAGTTGTTACATGTTTTATTCTGATAGTTGTTACGTGTTTTATTCTGATAGTTGTTACGTGTTTTATTCTGATAGTTGTTACGTGTTTTATTCTGATAGTTGTTACGAGTTTTATTCTGATAGTTGTTACGTGTTTTATTCTGATAGTTGTTACGTGTTTTATTCTGATAGTTGTTACGTGTTTTATTCTGATAGTTGTTACGTGTTTTATTCTGATAGTTGTTACGAGTTTTATTCTGATAGTTGTTAAGTGTTTTATTTTAAAAGTTGTTACTTGTTTTATTCTGATAGTTGTTACGTGTTTTATTCGGGTATCTGTTACGCGTTTTATTCTTGTAGCTGTTACGTGTTTTATTCTGATAGTTGTTACTTGGTTTATTCTGATAGTTGTTACTTGTTTTATTTTGATAGTTGTTACGTGTTTTATTCTGATAGTTGTTACTTGTTTTATTTTGATAGTTGTTACTTGTTTTATTTTGATAGTTGTTACTTGTTTTATTTTGATAGTTGTTACGTGTTTTATTCTGATAGTTGTTACATGTTTTATTCTGGTAGCTGTTACGTGTTTTATTCTGATAGTTGTTAAGTGTTTTATTTTAAAAGTTTTTACTTGTTTTATTTTGATAGTTGTTAGGTGTTTTATTCGGGTATCTGTTACGCGTTTTATTCTGGTAGCTGTTGCGTGTTTTATTCTGGTAGCTGTTGCGTGTTTTATTCTGGTAGCTGTTGCGTGTTTTATTCTGGTAGCTGTTGCGTGTTTTATTCTGATAGTTGTTAAGTGTTTTATTTTAAAAGTTTTTACTTGTTTTATTTTGATAGTTGTTACGTGTTTTATTCGGGTATCTGTTACGCGTTTTATTCTGGTAGTTGTTACGTGTTTTATTCTGATAGTTGTTACTTGTTTTATTTTGATAGTTGTTACGTGTTTTATTCTGATAGCTGTTACGCGTTTTATTCTGGTAGTTGTTACTTGTTTTATTTTGATAGTTGTTAAGTGTTTTATTCGGGTATCTGTTACGCGTTTTATTCTGGTAGCTGTTGCGTGTTTTATTCTGATAGTTGTTACTTGTTTTATTTTGATAGTTGTTACGTGTTTTATTCTGATAGTTGTTACGAGTTTTATTCTGGTAGCTATTACGAGTTTTGTTCTGATAGTTGTTACGAGTTTTATTCTGATAGTTGTTAAGTGTTTTATTCTGATAGTTGTTACGTGTTTTTTTCTGATAGCAATTACGTGTTTTTTTTCTGATGGCTGTTACGTGTTTTATTCTGATAGTTGTTACGTGTATTATTCGGGTATCTGTTACGTATTTTATTCTGATAGTTGTTACGTGTTTTATCCTGGTAGCTGTTACGTATTTTATTCTGATAGTTGTTACGTGTTTTATCCTGGTAGCTGTTACGTGTTTTATTCTGATAGTTGTTACGTGATTTATTCGGGTATCTGTTACGTGCTTTCTTCTGATAGTTGTTACTTGTTTTTTCCTGGTATCTGTTAGGTGTTTTCTTCTGATAGATGTTACGTGTTTTATTCTGCTAGTTGTTACGATGTTCATTAAAAGAATTCTACAAGTTATTCTGATTATGTTTTACCAGAAGAGAAAACAGAAAAATAATGCTAGTTTATCTTTGATATATCTGTAAAGTCACATATCACGATAATCTCAGAATTCTTTTGTGTTCTGCCTTGTGTAGAAGCAAAGCTGGTCTTTAAAATAGCATCTCTGTTTAATACCAAACTTATTCTACCAATGTGACCAGTGCAGATCAATATCAGACGACGCATTTGTGCCGTAAGATCATGGTCTGCACTATTCGCTGTCATGAAATTGATGAATGGTTTTGTCCAGACTGATGGATGGACGGGTCCATTTAAGATATTTTAGCGTGGTGAGATTTTAAGTGTCCAACATATGGACTAGCCTGTGTTAAAATTATGGTATCTGATAACCCCTTTTTTACCTTTAAATGTTGTAGCTAGGTATTGAAGAATTTTGTTTGTTTCAGATTATGTTGATTCTGGTTTCTGCTTCGGCAAGAGCGGCTACAAATTGCTTGAAGAATGCTGAAGATGTATGAATTTATATTGATGTATTTTGAGTAACTTATAAAAAAACAAAACAAAAAAACTCACACTTATTCTTTAGTTAATCATTTCGTATTTGTATGTCATCACAGTTTCACACCGTTTGAAATGAATAGCATTTATGTGATACAATTTCATGCGTCCTAAATAAGAAACACACATCCTATCTAATTGATGTTTTTATAAATTCAACGATTGAAACATAGCCGTATTAATATCTTTAATCTCATTATCATGATCTTTTGTAAATAAAGATTAATTATTTATTTCATTGTTTATACAGGCATGACCTGCAGGTCAATTTTGTGCTGCTCCAGGCAATTCTCAAAGCCCAAGTCAGCCTAAATGCTACGATTGTAAGTCTAAATATGTTTATTATCATTTCTTTTTCTCTTTTTAACTTATATGTTTTCTTATCTTTTATTCGTCTGGAAGAAATAAAAAATAACATTCATAATGAGATACCTTAATATTTCTCCAAAGTTAATTCTGAGTTGAATACAGTAATTGTTCTTTGTTGAAATTAAGTTTAGGCAAAGATATCAAAGATATTTTTCTCATCTTTGAATATTAATCTAGAATTTGTTGCCGTAAAAGTATTTTGCTTTTATCTAATACACCTAAGTGTCAATCCTTTGTTCCATTTGTAAAGATAGTATGAAGGTGATTTTAGGTTGATTAATTTTTTAATAATCAACTGTACTCGTATTATTAATAACTGACGTTTTTATATTTCTAGGTTCGTGCAGTATCGTACCGGATCAATGTAGGTTAGCAGCAAAGAACGTAGTGACATGTGACTGTACTGGGTCGGGATATACAGGGGATTACTGTACCGTTGGTAAGTCAATGCATGTTTATATGCCTGTCTGTCATTATGTTTCAATTAATATACTATTTCACAATCACTTTCGCGTCCCGTTTCTGGAACCACTAAATAGGTGTCATATGAAGAAACATAGTCGTGACCCGATTGGGGCTCGAAAACATGATCACTGAGTTGAGAGGCAGACACCTTAACCACAAGGCCCCCGCTCCGTGAGCCATTTGATAAGTTTCACGTTGTCATTGATACGTCGTGTTGACTTGAAGAGATTAAATTGAAAATGCGATAATCTGAAAACAAAGAGGGAGAAGTTCAACATAATGCAAAAAAGGATATGGTTCTTGAAAAACAAATGTATTAAATGTATATCCTTAATGTGAAGTTGGCTTGTGTAATACTTCTTTTGTTTGCTTCAATGTGAAAAATTACAAGGGCAACAAATTCATCATTATATATGTGAGAATTATGATTCATATGTCTTTTATCAATTTAGGTCGTTTTAGGGAAACACAAATGTACTTGCTTCTAGTTTTAGTTATGCCCTATACAAGTATTAGTGTAAAAATAACAAAGGGGAAAAACTCTATAAATCACATAATAAGAAGTCATTGTTCTAGTACTTTGCGGTTTTCCTCAATGATCCATATTCCTCTGTCTATTATTAATGTGAGGAAATTGAGGTTTATGAGACACTGTGAATAAATGGATCGTCCTTTTTTGTATGTACCATAGATGTAGACGAATGTGCCAGTTCTTCTTCGAATAATTGTGATGAGAACGCTCAGTGCACAAATACCAACGGAAGCTTCACGTGTGCATGTAACACGGGATATACCGGCGATGGTGTATCATGCACGGGTGAGTAATTATTCATATTACAAGCTTTCATGGGTGTATACAAATCTGGGAAAAGGGATATCCCTTGTAAGAATTAAAAACAAGAAATTTATAGGACATTTCATAATCGGTTTGATAAGTACATTCATGGGCGAAAATGTGAAAACGTGCAACATCTCTCACGCCTCTTACACCTACTGAAACAGTATTGAATCTTAAACACTCAATTTGCTTGAAACAATAATCTCTAAAATATTTTATACCCCATGTATTGTTTCTTTACAGACTTAGAATAATAATTATTACTTGGTATTACCTCCTAAAACTGGAAGAAATCAATCTTAATTTTAGAATATAATGTTATAGATTTGTTCTTCACACTGTCAAGTTTTATTTTAGATGACAGAGTAAACTATTTCAAATATCTGCAGACTATACTGAAATCATATTTAATACCTTTGCAGATATTGACGAATGCGATAACACTCCATGTGACAGCAACGCGACATGCGAGAACACCGCTGGAAGTTTCACCTGTACGTGCAACACGGGGTACACTGGTAACGGATTGCCCGGCAACTGTGGCAGTAAGGAATATTATATACTAGTTCCTCCTTTTGTCATTGTTGTTTTCCTTACAGAAAATCTATAGCATTTATTTTTAGATTTAAACTTAACTGAGTCTTCACAATTACAGTTTGAATAGTGATTGCTATCAAAGCCAATGTCACGGAGTTAGTTTAAACATATTTTTTAGAGTTCATCAACATAGATTAGACCAGCTAGCAATTGTCTTTTAAATTAGGGATATCTTTTTTTCATAGTTATGTCGTGGTACAAAGTTATTTTATATTTATTTTTTACAGATATTGACGAATGCGTAACACTTGAGACAGCCTGTGCTGAAGGATACGGTTGCGAGGATAAAATACCAGGGTATTGTTGTAAACCTACACCTCCTTAAACCCAATATTACGCTCCGGAAAAACAGTTCAACAAACCGAATAATCGAATGATATATATTATCTGATAATGGACATGAAACCTGCCTCTTTCTTTTCCTCTCTCTCTCTCTCTCTCTCTCTCTCTCTCTCTCTCTCTCTCTCTCTCTTTATTACATGTATCTTTATGGCTGTAAATTATTAAAATGCTCGTTTTCAAGGAATTTTAATTTTAATATGGACATAATGTTATATGTATTACTGATGTCGACATGTCTTTCTCTCTCTCCTTTCCTTTCTCAGCATCAAAACAAAAATAAAGTTCAAATAAAAAAACATGGAGTTCATTATGTTATTATTGTAAAGACGTGGTGTCCGACCATCTTAAATGACCACTACTACGGAATGGTCAGCTGGAATATTAAATGTTGACATCTTAATCAAGTCACTGTCAGATATATACGTAAATTTGAGACGACTCTTTGTTCCCAACATGAGATAATCTCTGTATGAACACTAGAGTCTTTGGTAATAAAATTTATGTCAATGAGATTGTCAACATTTTGTTGCATTTCGCAATAATTTATTTTATATCGTCCAGATGTATGCTTGCCTAAAATTGTCAATTCTAATTAAAAACCCAATATGACATGTTTCGTTAATTGATAGATAAAAAAATAAAAAGAAAATCTATCTCTTTATATTAAAACACTCAGGATGACAATTGGCAGTATTTTAGCCATTGCTGTTTCAGGGAAATAAATATCCCGTAGAAAAGGAAATGGAATAGGATTACAAACATATATTTATATAACTTAACAAGCAATTATCATAGTATTGCAAGCAATCCATAAGTCCCCTACCGGTTAGAACCCCAGCAACATTCTGATTTCAATTTTACCAGTGAATGAATGACATGAATGAACTTAAATCTTTTGAGTTCTAAGTTTGTCTATTTCACAGTAATGTGTTAAGTTTCCCTGCTTAGAAGGGCAATTATGTTTATACAACCTTGTCATATTATTACGATGTGGGATTTTAAAGTAAATCCTATAAGGAATGAAGAAGTTGGAGTAAAAAATACCAATTTCTCGAAAAAAATCTAAGTTCAAGGGGGACATAATTCTGGAAATAGTCTTGCTAGAGTATTTAACCTTCTCAAAAATGTTGAGTGATAATGAGAAACATATATATGAAGTTTGAAGTAGATACATTAGGAAATAAAGAAGTTATTTTTAAAAAGACAACATTTTTTTTTTCATAAAAATTCTAAGTTCAAGGGAGGTAATACTGATAATTTTTGTGCTAGAGTTGTAAACCTTGTCACATATGATGTGGTTGATGACCAGAAACTTATATTTAAAGTTTGAAGTAAACACCTTAAGAAATAAAGAACTTATAGTGAAAAAGCTGAAAAAATTAAATCAGAAATCTTGAAATCCAGGCTATTTGTTGCCATAGCAACCAGAATTTTCAACATAGGAAGAAAAGAAAAAGATGTGCATAATCTGCAGACTGCCATCTACCCATATTTTATGTTTCATAAAAATATTTTCAGTACTTTTTGAGTTATCACTGGATCCAGTTTATGTGTTAAATTTGCCATATTTTCAGACTATTTGTTGCCATAGCAACCAGAATTTTCAACATAGGAATAAAAGAAAAAGACGTGCATAATCTCCATACTGCCATCTATCCATATATCAAGTTTCATAAAAATATTGTCAGTACTTTTTGCGTTATCGCGGGATCCAGTTTTGTGGACGGACTGACAGACAGACGGACGGACAGACAGACGGACGGAGGGTAAACCTAAAGTCCCCCCCGGTTAAACCGGTAGGGGACTAAAAATGCTTATGAGTAGAGTGAATAAACTAATTTCGTGTGTATGTCATACAAAATCATTATATCATCTAGGTAAACGAAGTTAAGTACAAATAATTTTATGTGAATATAGTATATTTAGTGTTTATCAAGTGAAATTTTATCAATAAAGAATCCAAAAGGGAGTGACAGTGATTTTAGTGTTAACACTTCTCTAACGAAAACATGACGCTGGTTTCACTGGGCATTCTGGGGTGCAATTAAGAGATTCAAAACACACACTTCTTTACAGAGATCCACTGAAGATTACATTTAAAAAATAGTGAACACAGTGACATGTCTAGGATGAGACCAACATCAGCCATTATAACTTGCTTGAAATACATTAAAATACATCTTAGATCTGAATTTAAAAGAAGAAAGCACAACGAAAGCAGAAAAAAAACAACTTTTTTTGTTGGACAGCATAAGATAAACAACTTGAACAGGCTCAATGAAACTGGGCCTGCAACATTTTCAATTTTACCGTGTTGGACTTTTCTTTACAGACTCTTTGATGAAAGACTCTAGCAAAGGGAGAGAACTAGATATGTGTAGACTACTATCTAATACGATTGTCCCCCCCTAAAAATTAAAGTTTAGTTATATAACAACAGGTGCTTTTTAAATATGGACATTCTTTACTCGGAAGATAAGGTATTACTGTATTGTGTCCATGTAATTTATAACGAAATAATCCAAGATGTGACTTTGATAAGGTAATAAAGATAAAAGTTCGGCAGTCATATGTGTAATGCAAATAAGACTTACTTATCCTAAAGGGAGCTTCTGTGGCCGTGTGTTTGGAATCGTTTTTATTTAATCCCATCGCGGCGACGTTAGTCTGAATCCATGTAAGAACGTCGAGTGCTTAATTTTCTACATGTAAAGAGGTTATAAAAGAGGCATGGGACCGTACACCGTCATAACCGTAGGACGGAAGTGTCATACATATTTTCCATTGCTGAACTGATTTTGATTGTTTTTGCACCGGGCAAATTCATTGAAAGTGATCCAAAGTGGCCAGAATAACTTGTGATTCTGTCCGAAAAAAATCAGTTTTTTCCGCTTATTTTCATCAAATGATACATTACAAAACTATCTCCACGGGACATTACAGTGTTCAGTTTATCTTCAAATACAAAACGTTTTTTTTTCTATTTTCTGGTTTGCTTTAAAAGGTTAAGACGATATTCCGCTGAAAATGTAGATTCTGTATAGTCAATGCGTTTTATTTTGATTTCAAGAGAAATAAAAGATACAATTACGTAAATCATCACCACGGGACATAACTGTGTTCAGTTTATCTTATATAGAGCATCAGTTCAATAAAAACAAACGCTTTTCTTAAGCTTTCGACGTTTAGTCTTCTTCAGAAAAAATTGACGTTTATAAAATAACAAATGACAAATGACGCAACGTCCGTTTAACTATACGCTAAACAGAACGCGGGAATAAAAACTTTGTCCAATAAATACAGAATCTTTCATGAATATAAATACAGCAATATACAATAAATTACACATATAATATGGATCTGCACATGTGATACAAAAATTCACATAATTAATAATAATAAAAAACCTTGATATGAGAAAAAACATACTACATGTATATGTATACCGGCTCAATAATGACAAAGTTATATATTGTACAAAACTTTTGCATTCATACCATTAGGAGATAATGTGTTAAGCTTATGAATCCAGTATGATTCTTGTAATAAGCGTTCCATATCATCGGTGACAATCTCTATAGGCATAAATTTAAAATCCTTAATACAATGATTGGTTTTATTAAAGTGTGTAGCGACATTGGTCGAAAATAACGGATCGGAAAAATTGTTGATATCAAACCTATGGCTATTCATGCGTTTAGACACTTTTTTTTTTTCAGTTTATCTTCTAACACAAAACTTTTTTTCTATTTTCTGGTTTGCTCGATATTCCTCTGAAAACGAAATGTAAATTCTGTATACTTTTTTTATTAGTCAATTTGCTTTATCTTGATTTCAAGAGAAATAAAAGATACCAGTACGTGAATCATTGGTCAGAAAGTTCATACATGTCCAGGAAAGTAAATCAAAATAAAACTAAGCCTAAAACCATAAAATTGGTAAAGAAATAAGAATCAATGTGATTGACTGAGTAAAAACGGGCTACCAGAGGATCAGGAAACGGGTTGATTCAACAAAAGATCAAATGTAGAAATTATTATTTCAAAGTTGTATTTTATTTTTCTAAACTAATGGCATAGTCAATATGACAGTTGCTATTCTTGAAGAAGAAAAAATAACCGTTTTCTATTTAAAGCCATGGTCATTCAAATAGAATGGTCTGGAGTCGGACCATATTACGAATAAAGATGTCTCGGTTGGATCACGTGATTAGGTTATCTTCCAACTGAATTCTTGCATAGTACATCAACATTCAAAAATCAAATTTTAAGATAATGTTTTGTTAAAACGATAAAAAAATTACTGAAAACTCATCCTGGCTACATTACATGCCAGCTTTTACTTTAAAAAGTAACAATCTTAATTATATATTTGCAATGAAATTAGGAATTTTTCGTTCCCGGTGTCAAGGTAAAAATCTACTGTTGAAAAATGTTCCAAGCTGTTTTTTTAATGTATACATTGTTCAATGACAAAAAAGAAGAAATTGGTTTTACAGAGAAAAAAGTTTTTAACCATATCATGCAAAAAGTTTATAATATTTCACGATGTTATTTACAAATATTTGATATTTAATTTGGTGCATTTTCAAAATGGCGCCGTTTATCGACAAATATTCGAAACAAGCAATCTATGTTTTTCAACAGATATGGCTTTTAAAACATTGATTTCTGATATATTTATTCTTTTTCCAAAGTTTAAAGATTTTTAAAGAACATCATGTAAGAATTTTCATTTTTGCTCTTATATTAAATGTTCGTCCTTTGCTTGAACACTTACATAATTTGCATATAGCAAACCATACCGAGTTATACCGAGACATGTTTAATTGTAGCGAGAAGGATTTACATAGTGCGTTTCCAGACACGTTCATTTATTTCGCTAAAACTACCATTTTTCCTTATTTTTCCTTATTGTATCTTAATACTTTCTAAAGAAGCACATTACGGCCATCTCGCTAGATACTTATTATATAGGCTAGATTATTTTATACTGAAAAATGATCGGTTTACATTTGACATCACTATAAATCTGTCGATAGTTTCAAATGTTCATGGTTATATAAACGCATGTTGCTTTCACTTTGCCTACTATTATTCGCAACTATTAAGAAGATTTTTGAGCTTTTATACTTTTAATATGTATACAAATTGATAGATTTTAGTGAAGAGTGATTGTTCAACTTCTACATAAGAATTCGCTTGCAGTTAGCTTCAAGCCGGCCTTGCTTTTCCTTAATATGAATCAACCCGGTGCCCTTTATATTTTCTTAAATGTCATCAAAACGCGTACAACATGAAATATCTGAAAAATAAAAAATAATGATGATTTTTTGGCACTTTTATGCGAGCGTTTACTACTACTTCGCTATATGTTGAATTTGTGTTTTGATTTCAACTGATAAAAGACCGACGTTTACAAACCTTACAAAGTTGTATATGAATTCCTTAAACATTGCAATGTTCCGTGCACGTTGAATATTCGAAGACTAACAGCTGTAAATGTGTTTATTTTTAATATAATTTCACCTCGTCAAGTTCAAAATCCATTTAAGAATCAATCAAATGCCATACATCCAAATCAGTTCTGGAACGAGGAAATATTCGAAATCAGCCCGGAGCGAAAAAGGTTTAAGCCCGTTTGGCTCAAGACAATGGCTTTTTTATCGAGTCAGCAAGCTTATGGACATTGATATGACTTTTTTGAGTTACATATTCTACATGTTACCATTGGCTCGACATTGAAAACAGTCTGGTACAACTTGTATACATTGATTTACAATTAGTGCAACAATTGCTGTATACAAAACAACGTCAACTAGGTGTAATTATTTCTTGAGAAAAAGGAGACTTTCAGCTGGCCCATTGGGTCACTGTTGTCATCAACAATTATGATGTCTGAAAATTATAAGTCAACCATCTAAAGTGGCTAAAGTGAACGGTTTTCATGCGTCATTTATTTTTACTAGTTTATTTAGTCACAGTAGAATCTGTATACTTTCTGAATGGCATGAGGTTCTTAACATTAAAAGTAATATACAGTAATGATTGTTCACTTAAAAACCCTAAACGTTTTTTTTTTTTCAACGTTTTTTTTCGGTAAAAATTTTTAAAATTTTTAAATTTTTTTTCGGGTCAATACTTCTTTGGTTGTTGATTTTTTTTCCCTAATTCGTGACTTAGTGGCTGTTTTTTATATATTTTATTTTGTATTTATAATGAATTAGGTTGAAAACACATTTATTACGCATAATTATCATAATTTGAATATACGTATTTTTGAGATTTAACGTTTGACGTAAAGTAATTTGCACGGTGTATGCTCGGCTAAAAGGGTGAATGAGAAAGTAAATAACTTAACATAACAGGAATGGTGTGCCGAAATATTTATTGGGTTTATTAAAACGGAATGAATTCGAATCTCTCAGGGGTACAGATAAAGTATTGTTTGGCAACGATTTCTTGCACAGAACAATATTTCATCGACATCTCTGGTGTAGATCGGGTGGATCGAACTAGACCCCCGTCCTATAACCGATCAGTTACAAGTACAAGCTTTTTAAACCAAATATATAAATCATATTTTCATTGATCTCAACACATTAAAATAGAAAAAAATGGAATCCACAAAGAAAGTCTAAAACGGCAAAATGGAAATTACAGGCTTTGTTCGATTGAGCCTGTTCATGGACGGAAGCAGGATTCAAAAATTATACATAATAATTTATCTATTAGCTAGTTTAAATAACAACACTTATATTCCTAACATTTAAAGACCCTGTATGCTGTGATCATGCGTGTTTGGGTTTGTTTACAAAAGAAACGAGTGGAAAACTATACTAAGTGAAATTATATATATATATGTACATAATTATGCAAATAAAACATTTTATGAACATCGAAGAATATGTAAAATATGTACTGCAAATATATGTGCATATTATATAAATCATTAAATATATACATTCATTTCTTATTGTAAAATTTGACTTAAACTTTATAGAACTGAAACAAAATTTTTTTTTCCCTTTTATTTACATTTAAAAAATTTAAATTTGTTTTAAAATTTTAAAAAAATAATGCTTTTTTTTGGGAAACCCACAATATCGATAAAACTTAATTTGAGATCATATTTTTTTGATTTAAAAAACCCTGAAAAAAAAATTTTGTTTCAGGATTCAAAATTTTTAACGGGGAAGAGAGGTTGTTGAGTTATGAAATTTGGGGCGGGTCCCTTGGAGGGGGTTTTTGGGCGGGGAAATGTGTTTTGTGGGTAGAAATGGGTTGTTTAAGTTGTGGGGATGGGGGGTTAGGGGGTTTTGGAAAATTCGAGTAGGAGAAATTTTTTTTGGGTTTCTGGGTGGGTGTGGGAAAAAGGGGGGTTTTGGAAAAACTGGTTTTAGTTTTTTGGGATGGGGAAAGGGTCGTTTGGGGGTGTTGGGTGGGAAGAGGTGCTGTGTGGAAAGGAGGGGATGTTTGAGTTGTGGGACTGGGACCGGATTGTGAGGAGGGGAGGGGGGCTCTTTGTCTTATTGCAAATACTGTTTGACTACATATATTTAAACGTCTAATAATCACCGTATAAGAAACTTGTCTTCTCATTATCAACTTACAATAAATTTATTATAAAATACCGAGTATGTTAATCACAAATGACATTTTACAAATCACATTTGTTACAAAATGGCTTTTGTTTTTATTTTTTTGGGCCCCAGACCAAAAAAAAGGAGCGAAAAATTTAGAGTCTAATTTTTTTAATTTAAAACCGAAAATAGTCCACTTTTTTGAAACGGTTAATTTTCCCTTTTTGTACCTTAAAACCCAAAAATTTAGGGAATATGCGTAAAGATGGTAAAACCCCCCGGGATAAAATTTTTAAACAAAATAACCCCAAAGGGAAGATTTCTTAAAATTGGGTTTTTTGGTATTTTCTGATCGAAAAAAACTAAATACAAAGCGGACATTCAATCTTTTGACACAGAAGTTTTTTTACAAAACCCAACAACAAGTAGTTTTTCCAAAAACAGCTTAAAAATTAAACGAAATTTTTAAAAAAAAAATATTTTATTTTGTTTTAAATTCCAAAAATTAAAAGTTTAAATTAACAATGCGTTGGTTTGAATTGTAATAAAAGCCAATAAAAATTACGCGGATTTTATGATTTTACCCAATGAAATATATTTTTAGAGTAGATTACGAAATATACCCCCGGGGTAGTGATATTAGTTTTCTCTGGGGGACTTTTTGGGGCCAAAAGGATTCAAAATTTTTTCAATTTAAAAGGTTTTACCGAACAAAAAAACCCTCGAAATTAAATAAGGTTTACCAGGAGTTATTAACAAAAACCTGGGTTACAACCCGAATGAAAATGGATTCAAAATTTAGAATGATTGATTTTTTCCCCGATTCTGTGTATAACTTTCCTGGACAGAAAAGGGGTCGCGTAATGGGGTTCAGTAACCCCATCGGGTGTTTTTTTTTGAAATTTTTTTTAAAAGTTTTTTTTTAAAAATACCTGTTTTTACGGTGTGTGGGCTGGTTTAAAAGAATAAAAAATATTTTTGGATAACAGTTTGGAGAATTTGATTTTAAAAAAATTTAAATAATAAAATAATTTATCAGGAAAAATGCATAAGAAAAAAGTACGATTTAGATTGCAAAGATCAGAAATACCAAAAAACTTAAAACCTTTGATTTTTTATAAATAATGTTATATAAGTTGGTTTTTACATTGTTTTAAACCTTAAAATTTTTTAAAGCCTCCAATTTGAAAAATAGGTTTTTTCAGGCCCAAAATTTAAAATTCCCTGGTGGGTTTTTCGGGGGGACATTGGAAGGAAGTCTGGAGCAAATCCCAGAAAAGGAATCATTTTTTTAATTGTTAAATCAAAATAAACCCGGATTGAATAATGTTTGCAATAGTCTTTCCCCACTTTATAAATTAAAACGCTGGAAACTTGGTGGCACTAAACATATAATTCACAACTCCTTTCTTACTTTCTAGCCCAAAACAAATTCAGCGCCTTCTGTGCTTTGATTATTTTTTTGTTTTTTCCTATTGCAAAAACCCGGTCCTTTACTCCAACAAATCGTTTTTCACAGTCACATGAAAACCCTGCATTTTCTAAATGAACACGCGGGTATAATTTTTTGTGTGTAAATACCTGAATGGGCAATGCCTTATTTGAACTTCAGTCTGATAAGACTGTTAGACATGGTGTAAAACTAATTATATATTCAGTAAAAATAATAAAATAATCCTTTAACGTAATTCATCTTGACAAAAATATTTACATTTATTTTATATCATTTATTATGCTAATTTAACTTTATTTGAGCTAAAAATGTTTGATTGTACGCCACGTTTTCGACGTTTACTAGGAGTTTACATAGTTTTGAATGCGTTCACAAGTGTGCTATCGCAGTTTGGAAGAGGAGGTATGCTACACTGATTTAGATAATTTCTTTATTTAAAATATCTGAATTTAGTTATAGCTCTTTATTGTACATTAAAAATGTCTTTTTTTTTCTTCATAAAATTACACTAAATTTAGCAGAAAGTATACATTTCCAATATCCATGTGCCGCGGATTCTAGATCTTCATCTGTATTTCTACAGATATTAATATCGAGGGTTCAAAGGTAAAAGGTAATAACTGCCATTTTCAAGATTTCGAGAAAAACGCAAAAAACATATTTTTTTAATACAACTTTATTTTCCGTAATATTTTTTAAAAAACAATTTTGATTCTCCATATTTTTAACATTAATTAAATTTTGTTTAGTTGACATTCCTTGGTGCTGATAAAACACTTAAATTATAGTTTTTTAAAGTTCAAAGATCAAAAAATATCATTTTACAGAAGTAAAAGGTAATAATGTACTTAGACCCTTCAAGACTACAAGTTAGGGAAAAAGGTAAAAAATGCCTTACGCCCCTTTTATTTCAAAGGGTTTAGCAATAAAAGTTAAGATAAACCGTGGTAAAAAGGTTATAAGTGCAGTTATATAGCTTGTTCTTGAAAAATTTAGATGTTTGCAGAAAATTGTTACGTTGCAAATTTATCAATTAGTCGTTACTTTGAAGACCTTCCCCTAAAAATTAATTAAACAAATGCAATTTCCCCCCTCGTACCCCAAAATTTAAACCCCTTTTCTTCCCATAGAAATATAAATATGTCCGCGCAAAAAGTTCTCAAAAAAAAATAATACTAAAAGTTTAAACCGAAAAATAGCACTAAAAATCAAGTTTCAAAATTTAATTTTTATGATGTTCTTGGATATAAATAACTGAAGTCAAACAGACCCCAGACTCGCAATTTAAAGGATATTAGTGACCCCTACCCCATAGTTAAGTAATAAAGACTACTGTTTCATGTCAAAAAAATTTGGGAAAAAATTTCTTTATTTAAAAATTTCCATCATTTTTAAATCCAAAAAACAGAAGGGGGGGAATAAAATTTTCTTTATGTTTCCCTGCATGGCAATGTCATGAAATGTTTCGCACCCCTTCGGAATTGTTCCCAGAGGAAACAAGTGACATCAAATCAGCTTTTGCAGCAGATATTGGAAGCTTCTCTGTATAAGCCTTCGGGACCCTTAAGAGACTTTTTTTTGCTTCTTTTCTTCTTCTGCATTAACCAAAACTCCCCTTTGAACCAAAACAAAAAAACCGTCCAAAATATCTTTTTTGTCTTTATCTATCTCCTCTTTTAGTCATATAAAAACGTCACATTTTTAGCACAAAAAAAAACTACATAAGATGTTATTTTAAATGGGGGAAAAAAAAAGAATAAAACCTTTTAATTTGGGTTCTAAAAAAATTAAAAGAGGATAAAACAAAAAAATGGTTGTTCGGATGGAGAAGGTTTATCCGGTTCATGCAAAGTAAATCTTGCTTGCTAAAGTGCCAGAAAATTTTAGCTCCCCGGTAACCCTTACCCCCCCAAAATAACCCATGTATTTTATATTTTTAGCCAATTAACACTTTCACCATCAATATCGATTTTCATTGAGCCAAAGTTTTTTTCTTTGTACAACTTGTAATCTGTTTGTCATTGTATTTTATTAGAACGCAATTTTGGGTTGCTTGGGCCGTGCTTATGTTTAAAACTGTTTTCCCCACTGCGATGGAACATGAATATTGAAAGGCTTTTTGCAGGTTGATAATGCATGTATAATTTGCATTCCTTTGAACCCATTTCAAAAAATGGGGGTTTTTTAATTGATGTGAGGTTATTTTGGGACACAGTGAACTAAGCAACTTGAAACAAACTGTTTTGCAATTCCCCCACATGATTACTTTTAATGTCATTTTAAAATACCGATGTCTTACTTGCAACAGGGGTTACATACAAGTCCCCAAAAAGCCCCTATTTTGACGACCCCTGGTTTCCTCATGTGTTCATCCACAGAAAACAAGTCCTTTAAACCATTTCCCAGTTCATAAAAGACAAATTGCAAAAAACACAGTTTTGTAAAAAAATACCGAGTGGGTTTAAAATACCCGGGGATATAAATGCCACACAGAAATTTTTGGATTTTCTTTGTGCTTTTTTTATCGGCTGTTTTTTGATCTTGCACTGTTTTTTTTTTTTTGGTCCTTGGTGTACTTGAATTTGCTTTTGTTGCCTCATTAGCTACTTCTATTCTCAAAGTGCTCCATTCAGATAAATTTGATCTTTCTTAGGACGGAAGAAAAAATTACATTCTGTACTAAAAATATTCTGTACACACCTCTGAAAACTTTTTCTATTTTGCCCTTTGCTTTTTCTACATACATGAGAAATATTCTTTTATTTTTAAATTTGCGTTAGATTTTGTTGGGGTCTTCGTGTTTAGTGTGATTCAACGTGGAAAAAGCTTTCGTTGTGTTTCTTTACAAATGATCTGTGTATTCCGGGGTTTTTTTTTCCAGGCACAGCTTTCCCTTCTTGTCTTTCCAATATAACCTGCATTTGTGCTTAACTGCGTTGCAACTGTTTGGAACCGACACGATAGTTTTTTAGAAAAAAATTTCTGGAAAAAAAGTATCCCTCGGAAGTTTAATCACAAAAAAATTAAAAAAAATTGCAAACTGGGTTTTATTGAGTCTGTACAGAGAATAATGAATAATGCAACTCCCTCACGCCTTCTTTTCTACCTGTGTAAAAAAGAATCGAAATAGGGCTTTGTTTTGTTTTCCTTTTAGATCATTTCGTTCTTTATGGCAACATGGAAACAAATGTTGCCCCTTGACCCATTGACCCGTATGTACTGAAAAATTTTTTTGTCTTCATATTCGTTATTTCTCGCGCATTTTATAAAAAAAAAAATTTTGGGAAAAGAATAACAGATAGTGCCCGTGAAAATGGGATGAATGCAGCCCTTTTGTGGGGAAAAGGTGATAAATCTTATAAACCTTTTTCCATACAGATTTTACAAACATGTGGAACAACAAGTAAACAAAATTAAAATCCTTAGAACCTTTTTTCCCCATAAAAATTTTTAGAAAAGAAGTTATTTTCAAAAAATTTTTTTTTTTGTTTTTAAGGAGAATATTTATATAATATTTTCGTCAACTAAAAAGGAAAAATAAGTAATTATAAAAAACTAAAAAGTCAATTTCGGAAAAGTGGCCCGTTATAACCTTTTCCTTTGAACCCTCGATATAATCTTTTCAAATAAAAATTTCAAAATTTCTAAAAATTATTGAAAAAAATTACAAACTAAGTTAAATGAACAAATATTTAAACTGAAATACAGAAAATCACGAATATAGACGTTTTACTTTTGAATTTAAATTGATCAGCCTTTTCTGCACCGTCAACTTAGGTAGCTCAATTTTTTGCATTCCCTAAACTTTTCAAAGGGATTTTTCCAAATTCAAAGCATGACGAATCAATTAAAAATCACCGGAAATATGTGTTTAAATAAATCACGATTCTTGTAAGTACTATAATTGTCAATCGCAATCCTTTTTGCGTTGGAATGCTTACTACCGTAGTGCTGTAGGTCACGTGATCGGATCAAAGCTAAGAGATAGGAATGACTTTTATCTTTATAGCGGTATGATAAGATGATCGGATCATTATAATAAGAGTGGTTAATTATAATCTTTTTTCATGTTAATGTCAAAAAATTGGAATGTACTTATTTTAATTTAATATTAGTTAATATTAAAAATATCAGATTTTTATTTTGTGTGTGTTTGGGGGGGGGGGGGGGCATAGTTAGTAAACGAAACCAAATTACGGAAGATTCATTTTGAGAGAATGTCATATAATGCTCTGACAATAATTATTATCTTCAGGCATACGTGTCTACCATTTAAATTGTAAAAAAATAATGAAATACGGATTATTTGTTATCAAGTTCACGGTACCACTAGATTTTTTATTGGTAATGGTAATGCCAGTTTTAATGTGATTTTCATATGATTTTGTTAAGCGTGGTATATAATCAATAAGACTTAAGTTACATGCATCTACCACACACCGTATATGGTGTCTAACGATAACATACTCAAAATTTATCTCTAATTGTTTCTAGCTTGTACTAAATAAAACAACATTTAATGGAGTGATAAAGTTATTTATGGTATTTTAATATTGATGTATATTAACCATGTGATGTGTCAACATTTAAGTACGTCGTTAGGTAATTGGCTTTAAACAGGGCTAAGTCTTAAGGAATTGAGAATATTTGTTCCTAACAAAATAATACGTTAAGTTCTTAAAATGTACATGCCAATTGTTTCCTTTACAGGAGTTGTAGACAGACATGTTATAGAAGATATCATAGGTGGCGTTGCCGGACAATTGCCTCATTTTACTCTACGTCCAATAGGAATTCGCCCATTTGGAATCAGGCCTAGGCGTATTATACCTTTCCCACGTGTTATTCCGACACCCCCGGATGTTCATATTCTAGACGGCTCACATGGACCACATGGTAGTGGGGAACACGGTGGTAGACCTGGGGGCACACATGTAGATTTACCTCAACAACATGGAAATACTAAGCCATTTCCTGTAATACACAGGGAGGGCGGCGGAGGCCATGGTAGTGGAGGACAAGGTGGTGGTACGCACGTAGATTTACCTAATCAACATGGCAATACAAAACCGTTTCCCGTTATACACAGGGAGGGTGGCGGAGGACATGGTAGTGGAGGACAAGGTGGTGGCACGCACGTAGATTTACCTAATCAACATGGCAATACAAAACCGTTTCCCGTTATACACAGGGAGGGTGGCGGAGGACATGGTAGTGGAGGACAAGGTGGTGGCACGCACGTAGATTTACCTAATCAGCATGGCAACAGAAATCCATTCCCTGTTATACATAGGGAGGGTGGCGGAGGGCATGGAAGCGGAGGGCAAGGTGGTGGCACGCACGTAGATCGACCCGGTCAACATGGCAATACTGAGCCATTTCCTGTTATACATAGGGAGGGTGGCGGAGGACACGGAACTGGAGGGCAAGGTGGTGGCACGCACGTAGATCGACCCGGTCAACATGGCAATACTGAGCCATTCCCTGTTATACATAGGGAGGATGGCGGAGGACACGGAACTGGAGGGCAAGGTGGTGGTACGCACGTAGATTTACCCAATCAGTATGGCAACAGAAATCCATTCCCTGTTATACATAGGGAGGGTGGCGGAGGACACGGGAGCGGAGGACAAGGTGGTGGTACGCACGTAGATCGACCCGGTCAACATGGCAATATTGAGCCATTCCCTGTTATACATAGGGAGGGTGGCGGAGGACACGGGAGCGGAGGACAAGGTGGGGGTACGCATGTCGACTTACCTCAACAGCATGGCAATATTGAGCCGTTTCCCGTTATACACAGAGACGGTGGGATACACGGCGGACGACATGTAACACTTGCACGCTCTCGGGGCTTTCCTGTTATAGGGCCAATAGGAGATCCTTTTAACAGACGACATGGAAGGAGACGTTTGTCACCTGAGGAACGAAGGCATAGGCGAATTATGCGCAGACGACGCTTTCATGGAATAGACCCTCGCGCAGATATTAGAGGACATCCTGGAGGTCTGACTGGAATTCTTGCAGGGGCAGTTAGAGCCCTTGTCGGTTAAGTACCAAGATACACATTAATACATTGTAAGCACGAAGGGGTCATGAAAAGTGACCAGGCAAAGTGACAAAAAATAACTTGAAGCGTCAGGTTATCGGTATATATAATCAACGAGAAGTAAAGGTCAAGACTGACGAACGGTGTTTTGCAATCCCAGATTTCTTGTTACGATGAGAATTTTCATTCATTTTTTTTCATTTTTACTTTTTTTGTTACGTATTTATATACATGTACTGTTTGTTTTGTGTTTCATATTACTCCAAATAAAATCAAAGGGCTGCAGCTCTATGGTATTTTCTGATTTTTGCAATCTAAATCATACTGACTATCTGTATGTACTTTCCTGAATAAGTTTATTTTTATATACTATAATTCATCTTACACAGCGACAGCGTTTTGATTTTCTTCTATAACAGTTTGAGATTGATACATATGGAATTTTGCATGAAAAAAAAATAGAATTGCCTCGACTAGGATTTTGAACCATAGGCCTCTCACACCCTCAACGAGATCGCTTACCTCTGCACCACGGCGAAGTTATACATATGTACCTTGAATAAAAACGAAATACATTATGTAATTCTAAATTGAGAATTTCCATTTCGTGTTTGTAATCCTTATTAATTTCGAGGTATTTTGTTCACGATAAACCTGTTGTTTAACACTGATGAAAATAATATAGCGAAAAATCTTCTCGCCAAAACAGTCCGACATGTATATATTCCACTACTCGACAGTCAGATTTATTTGTGTACTACGCTCTGGAGTATTCGGTAATCGACATAGCTAAAAATAGCATTTTCATTGATTAAAATGATATTCATGATAATCCGAAGCTTTACGGAAATAGCCGAACATTTTTCATTGGGTAAATTAGATATTCATCCGCGAAATTTGTGATTGTAACCTCATATTTCTGTTGACTAATCTAAACTTTTAATGCACTGTTAATTCGTTAAATGCCTTCATTAAAAATTATTCTTTCTTTTAAATTGCTGGTTTTTAAGCAGTTTTGAGTGAGAACTACTTTGCGTTGTTAGGACTGTGAGGAAATTTTGTGTTAGACCGTGGATGTTAGCTATGTATTTACTGATCTTACGATCAGAAAATACAAAAAAAAACATTTAGAGAGACTAGTTAATTATATCAAAATGTATGACTAATAATATAGCAATGTAAAGAATTCCAAATGCTCTTACAACGGTTCAACCAAAATAAAATGAATGAATCTTTACGTATACATCATGGTACTTTCTGCGGGGTCACAAAGAACATGCAAAATTCGGAGAATGCACTTTGACTCAAACGAACAGAACTATCTGGTGTCCTTTTGTGAAAGCATAAAGAAAAACAATGTTCATATATAATTTCTGTGATTAACATTTCACTAAGTCAAACTGTGCAAAACACATATGCCTTGTATGTTGAAATAAATGTATGGATATATTTATTTCTCACCTTGATTGAAAACAGTTTTCTGTAACCTAAGAAGATACGGCGTTAAACACCGTGCTATTCTCATTTTCATTTTGCAAGTGCAAAAGTGCTGTCGGACAAGAACAAACATAATTAACGCTTTACTGTGTGATGCTATGTAATCAAATAAACTCCTGTAACACTTGCTACGTGAAGACGATGCCCCTTTTTAATCAGAACGAATTTCTCGTGGTTGATTCAAAATGATCTAAAATTAGAAACATCTCTCTATCAAGTGATTTTTGCGATTGATCACCATCATTTGATTATCATTCTCCCTCCCATCGGCGAGATGCTAATCTCTTTTACGGATAACAAAGTTTAAAGCAAGCTGCACCGCTTTCCAATTCGGCTAATAATGTGACGGCAATTCTCTCTAGGGAGTGAAGATTAGCCACTTTAGTCTCCTTGCGTACTGAAGTTATCCATCAAGGGCTGTCTTTTAAAGCTTCTGAAGATTTTTTCCCTTCTCTCAGTCTCATGGATACATCAGTCAGTCAATCTGTGTGTGATGAATACCGCATAAATCACGAGAAAAACATGCAATTCTGATTAGCGCTTGAAGCCTAACTTGTCTAGTTTTCGGATAAGTAAAAATTTGACTAGAATACATAATCAGCTTACGAAATGTGTTTTATGAGAAGGGAAACTGTTCTTAACTTTGCTATAGGAGATCTGCTGTGATTTAAGAAAGTGATTCAGTGAACTCGAAAAAATAACATAACGTTTTGATCAAATACATTCACTGATCACAAATAATAAACGCTTGACAAATACATGCAAAATATCTTAATAAACTTAAATTGAAAAAAAAATCGTGCAAAGGCAAGAACTGGAATCTACATCCAAACGTTATGATTTAAGCATGTGTGGCTGCTTTAAAAGTGACTTATGTTATTAAGCTTCGTTTGTGCATCAAAAATGAACAAGTAACAAAATTCCAGTCACCTCCTTCGAACCGTTTTCTGAAAACAGAGATTTAAATCTTTTTAATAAGCTTACATGGCAGATTAACACTAATTAACATCATTATAAAATAAAACAAAGTTTTAATGTTTTAAAGTTATACATTTAATGTTTATAGCCATTTTAAATCTGACTGGCCTGAACGTATAACTCTTTCAAGAAATTTAGTATTTTTTCACTGCATTGACTAAATGAATGTGTTACAAAGAATAGTTTGACAGATAATCTGAAATTACATGAATACTTTAGCTTACATATCTATCAGATTGCTGAGACAGGAGCAACATAAGAAACATGTCAAGTTGGCGCTTTCTCATTATAATACTTGATACGGACAGTAACGGAGTTTGTCGAAATTTCACGAACATGAAAGATGGAATACCCTGGATCCATCGTTGCTTCAGTAAATATAATTACCGTAATTGCTCTATTAAGATCAGACCACGAAATCTTAAATTTTAGTGTCAAACGAACAAATATCATTCATAATTTTATAAAGAAAAAATTCTTGGAAACTGTTATAACGAATAGACATTCCAAATTATCCCAAAACCACAATTTGTGAGAGCTTATCACGCACGAGAGTATCCCCTGGTCATCATTTGATCAAACCAATCAGTTTATTATAAGTATTACAAATTACACCAAAATCGCATTATTCAACGCTTCGGTTACCTTTTGAGATATTTTCCAATTATGTTTAACGTGCGTTCAGTGACAAATGCCTCGAAGCTGCGGCACTGATTTGTGATTTACAGAAAATAAGCTGAATCTTGTCTGATGAGACCCACAAATTTTACGCTGGATTGCGGGGAGAAATTGAAATACAGAAGCAGACATGAAAATCGCCGCATATAATTCCAGCTACGGTCAAATCGCTGTAAATCCTGGAAGCTGTTTGAATTAGGCAAAACAAAATGTGACAAATGTTTCTTGAACAATATTATAACGTATGTAGTAATACAGAAATAGTGATGCTGATGATGGTGGTGGTGGTGATAATGATCATCATCACAATCATCACCATGACGACCACGAAAAAAAAAGTGCCAGATATGAAAATGATGATACTTTGACAACATCACCCCTATTTCATTTCATATTTGCATTTTCTTCTAGTGTTTCATTTTTCTATAAAGATTATTATTTGCGTGATTGCCTCATTTATTTCACATTCTTCATCAATATATTTATATCTTTTTATCATCATTGCAATCATCATCATCAACAACATCGTTATTATGAGATTCTTTTAGACTAGATTCATTTCTAATTTTTACGGTTTATTTTGTTTACATTTTGCATACAGGTGTCCTTTAAGGCATATAGCCTATGTTGTCAATTTTTCAGTTCCTTATAATGCCCATTAGGCGTCATACCTTAAAACCCATGCCCGCGTTAGATACGCGTGAGATAAGAAACGATTCCGTTTCAAGTACATCTTGATTCAAAAACACAAGTGTTTTATTGGTTTTACGGTTGAAAGTTGAAATGTCTACATGGTGCCTGTAGTGTAAAGAACTGTAACCAAAAAGATAATAAATCGAGGACACCTACTCTCTATATCCGTTCTTAGAAGCCAGGCTCAGAATAATATTTATCTTCATTGTATTTTAAGAAATATCACTTTCCAAAGCAGGTGATAGATACATTAAATAGAATGCAACATAAAGCGGAAGACTGTCTCTTGAACTATACAGTTTGGTAGTTATCCCTCCGGATATTACTAAAACAATCATCGACCCATCAACATTTATCATCGTTGTCATCTAGATTAATTAATACAAAACAAATTAGGAGATAATCTTGTAAGAGACGCTAGTATCCAATACGTTGTGTACAATGCGTACCGTATCGACATGTCACATTATATGGTACAATAATATCCGGAGCGGTAGTTGATGGTTAAACGCACGCGCCTGTGTGATTGAAGATGATGGAAACGATGTGTCCAATGCGTTAGGTCGCGTTTTATTTAAATATATTGTATGGTCAATAATCGGAAATATTTCCAGTCATGAAATTTGATAAATGACACTTTTCTCCGTACAATTATTTACAAATTTGGAATTTTCAAATTATCTCAAATATTATCTAAATATTGATTTTTATCACCAACAATGTTTTTAAAGGATTAGTTTTGGGGACTTAATGAAATAAACGTTATAAAAAATAAGACAAAAGTTGCTTTAAATTATTTTAATTGTAATTGAAACAATGAATATATGAACGAAACAAAATTACGTAAGATCAAATTTTTGTCTTTTTTATGATAGTTCAATGCACAGGGACATCAAGCATGACTGAAAGCTCTGTAACACCCCACTTTGGGGTCAAGCGCACTTTAGGGTTCGACCCCAAAGTGCGTTACGTACTTTGGGGTCCAATGTCGACCCCAAAGTGCGTTAAACAGGTACACATGCATTTTTTAACATCAGACAAACGATCGCACTTTTGGGTCATAAAAAAGTAATTTTCATTATGTTCTAAATAATATATTGTAGTCAAAGCCAATGGTAAACAAAAATCAAGGTATTAAATAGACGCAAAACATGTGCCCTGAATTATAGTAGAATCAATAGGGATTTAAATGGTCTTGATCAGTAAGTGAAGAACTTTCACCAAATAAAGAATTTGTATCAATTAATAAGCTCAAAATATATTTTTCTCAAATTTTCCATTTATTTTAAAAGAATGTACACCTTTCATTAACTCCATTGTTTTTAGCTAATTGCATCATTTTCCCGTTTTTTTTTGTTTACACATTTTATAGAAATATGATAGACTTAGCATAGACAAAGGTATAAATTCTGGGAAATCTTAGTAAGACATTTCAGTAAAACCTGTGCCTGATAATATGTTAAAAGAGCCATTTATTTAGCTAAATGTGACATATAAGAAACTAGACTAGGTGTAGATGCGGCTTTAAGTCGTACAGGCAGTACTAAAAATATCATAAACTATTTAAGTAGTCGCACATTAAGAGCGGAGCTTCAGAATAATGTAAAATTCTCACTGGGGGTATAAAGGGGATTGTGGGGTATCGATCCCCCGAGGGTTAAAAATAACGTTTTAAAGGTCCATTATGCTTTTATTTGTTTTTCTAAAAAGCTTTTTTTATTTTGATGTTCTTCTATAATATCAAAAAAATGCACATCGGCCAATTGCCTGAACCATCTTTTTCATCTGTTGCTTTTTGGCAAGGATGAATACAGTTATAGTGAATTACTATTTTATATGGAATTCAAATACTACTATGTTTTGACTACTTTTATGACAAATAATTTCACATTTATCGCTATTTTATTCAGGTAACAAGCATCTTACATTTCTCTGATACCATTATTTTAACATTATAAAATTCATGTTTGCTCTTTCTAAAGAAATATGTAAGATTTCCCATTTAAAAAAGCCTCTGGCGAACGGTTGTTACGGAGCTTACAAAAACCCCTTAAGTTTGTTGATAAGCTTAATAATGTATTTGTAAAAATCACTATTTATAGTCCTATCGAAAAACTTGATATTTCACCAGAACATTTGCAATAGAGTATATTTATAGTTCTTTGGAAAAAATAATAAATGCATTTTATTTCATTCTCATCATATTTAAAATGGGGCTCAATATGGCACCAATTAAATGTTATCAAGTAAATGACTGACAGAACAGGATATTTTTCGCAGCATCTTTTAATTTTAGGAATACATCCACAATTTATGTACAAAGGTATTTTGTTATATGAACACAATTTTTAGATATTTCAAGTGGTAAAATTAATGAAACTGTTATCACTTAAGCCTCAAACAAAATATCGACCGCCATCTTGAACTCCACCTCAAATATTTCAATGTCGTAGATAGGGAATAAGTCAGTACTCAATATTTAAGCAGAACTCAGATGACACCTTTAGATCTCTGGAACCTAAAGAGCGTTGATATGTAGCATATTAACGCACTTTGGGGTCAATTTCTCGATTTTGACCCCAAAGTGCGTTCGACCACAAAGTGCGATGCGAAGTTTAACGCACTTAGAGGTCGGACCCCAAAGTGCGTTGGACCCCAAAGTGCGGTGTTACAAAGCTCGAATTATATTATATAAGTTATGTAAACGGGTTTTTGGGGAATGTTTTAGAGAAAAAAGTAGCAACAAAAAATCGGGGGAAAAATCCTTAACCTCATTTACATCAAAAATTCTTCAGAAAATTAGCACTTCTCCGCTACCTCTTTTGACATAAAACACAAAGCAAGCATTGTCTGTTGTGGACACCTAGAAATGAAAATTGAAACAATTACTTTCACGTTCAATTTCATTAGCACATCTTCCCTTTGACTCCTGTTTCTGACATCTCGGAAATTGATCCGAGATCTCACGCGCTTTGATTGTTTTGTTTAAACGCAGACGACAAATTTGATTTCCGGTTTGATCGTCTTTTGATTATTGAGCGTCTCTTTTTTGTTACTAGCCTCGGCAAAACTTTTATCGAAAGACGGAATATGCCATTATTATAATATGAATACATCTTGAAGTTGTATAGCTATGTACAAGAACATATGTGAGGGGGAAAAAGTAAGCTGCATAATGGTAAAGATCGATCGCTGATCATGTACTAAAGATTAGGAAATGACAAGATTAAAGATTGTTTCATGCTGATCAAATCTCGTGATTTTAATTTCTTTAATTTCCGATTTCCCCGTCCGAGAACAATTACTGGACGACTATAAAACACATTGATCGTTGTCGTCACGCAATAAAATAGTTCCGTCGCGTTTTTGACATTTTCTAGAATAATGCATTGCAACTTACAGTTATATAGGACAAAGTCTGTGCATAAATTTTTCATCTTCGGTTGTAAAAAAGTTTCCCGATTTTACAGACAGTTCAGTTGCTCGAAGACCACTTGCAATTGTAATTTTTGTTTGACAAGTTTTTCGATACATTTTCCAGTCTAGGCTTTGGTTTTTTTTTTACTATAGTTTCCTGATCCAGAGTCCAAAAAAGTCAATATCAAATGCATATTGTGCAACATATTGCGCCGTTTTCATTTTCAGAGTCCACAATATCTTATCAAATGCTTTTTGTACCCCGTATTACTTATAGAATTCAGTATTGTACTCAACCTCAAAATATTATGCGAGCTCCTGGCCAAAATGATATAAATTTAGTCAAGGAGTTCGGTGAATTAAGAAGTGAACCTACACGAATATGATTTTATATCTATCATTGCCTTAACAAAAATGTGTACAGTAAAAATAATTAAATTTTCATTGGCGTACTGTATAGTGTAATGCTATACTAGTATATTTGTACATGGTATATTGCAAATGGTGTCACGTCACAATATGATTATTATGCATGTCGTACTATACCATTTTAACATCGTTAAAGCTTCAAGTGTAAATGATTGAAATTATGAAAAGGTGCCATTTAGTACAAAAGACCGCTTCAGAAATCCCGATTTTATCATTTTAACTTCGTGAATTCACTTTCTCATCATTAAAAAAAAACGTACTGGTTGGTGACCATCAATCGGACGCTTTTTGAACATTTTTCCATACAGGTTTGTTAATTTCAAAGTTACAGATCTATAAACTTAATCGGGCATTTTTTTGGACCGTCATGTATGGTGGTTGTCCGGTTTTGGTGGTCCCCAAACAGCAAGTAACCTCGGGGAATAAAAATAGCTTCTCCCAGGATATTTCGTTCATGATCGTTAATCGTCAGCCAATATATCCAGTTTTAATTCTTAGTTGATGTGTGGTTTTTTTTGTGCTCTTTATTTTTGCATAATTTCCTGCAAATTTCTGATTGCACTCGAAACACACAAAAAAATCAAACGATATAAAATATAATAATTACACTGTATTGTGATATATAAAAAGAAACGTCATTGCAGACAGATCACTGTAAGGTGACTAAAATTGAACGTCTTTTCTTTGAGTTTCGTCGGATATCCAATATAAAGAGGGAAACACATCGTCATTATTGGCAAGCAATACATCACAGCGACAAAACTAGATCAATGCTTCAATCGCGCCACGATGTCGTCTGCTGTGAGAAGTCGTCTGCCAATAAAGAGGCGGGGCATGTATCTTGATTTGTCAACAAACGTCAAAAAGGAACCGCAAATAGGCGGGATGTAATCTTATTTATTTGCAACTTGCAAGATATTAAGATCTCAAACAGATTCTGATCTAGCAGTGTTTAATTATAAGAGCAACTAATTTCGTCTTGTATTTAAACTGAATATTTAGTTTCCCTATTTTCAAAAAATTAAACTTTTAGTTAGACGATCTTTCAAAATCTAGAGTAAGCGTTATATTGAAACATTTATATTATACATATAATAAAAAAGGACATTGTATGAAACGTGAATATTCGAATTTTTTTCTGAAAGTATTATACAGAATATGGAATCGAGTCTACATTCAGAGGCAAATCACCATGAACAACGTGAACAATCGACAGAGAACGTGCACTGCACGAGGTATCCAGACGCAGACGATCGTGCACGAGATCTCATGAACGCAGGTAGGTGTCATTTTATACTCCTAACGTTCTTTATGAACCAATAGGAAAAAATGTATTAAAAGAAAAAGAACTGTATGTAAATGAGAAAGTAATAATTTTGTTGTGACATAATTTATAAATCCCTTTTATTGTATGATAATATAAATTGTTTTTTTGTATAATAAAATGCAGATAAATAATTTCTATATTGACTTACAACTGCTTCTCCGTGCAACAGGTAAGTGTTTTGTGCCTATCTTACTGGTGAAATAAATGCTTTGTTTCAAATTTTGTATGATATCAAAAGAGCATACTATTTTGATTTTCTTTTAGTACCTTATTATAAGCCTAATCAAATGGATGTGTGTTTTATTATGATATTTTATTGTATTATTATTATTTTCATTATCATTATTATTATCATATTGTTATTATTATTATTATTATTATTATTATTATTATTATTATTATTATTATTATTATTATTATTATTATTATTATTATTATTATTATTATTATTATTATGAGGGAGGGGTGTTGTTGATTCGACCTATATTCATGTAAGTTAGTGTTGTGTTCTTTTTCAAGTTGTAAAAATTATTTTAAAATCATTCAGGGAACAATTAATTTATAATTATTTACTCCACAAAGTTTTCAACCGCCTTTGTTTGTTTGTTTTACCGTCTTAATAATAAGTAATAAAAGAAAATTAAATGACATCATATGGAGGTGGAAAACTTTATGGAGTAGATAATCATAAAAGTTATTTACTTTGAAATAAGCATCTTTAAGAAAAGTGAACTATTTTATGCCACATCTAATAATGATAATATCTATTACATATGTCCCGTTGAAAAACATTGAAATTCTTCATATTTTAAACAAAAATATTTGTATGCAGTGTATCAAATTAATGTAAATATTCAGAACAAACAAAGAATCCAAGAACCAACCAACCAACCAACCAACCAACCAACCAACTAACCAACTAACTAAATAATATATAATCCAGTTTATGTTAAGAGATATCTTAATTTGGTACACGAAGTGTTATCCTGTCATTATTGAAAGTACGTTCCGTCTGGGTATGTAGTAAAAATGATGATGAAATAATAAAAATAACTTTTGTTTGTTGATCAGATGAAAAAAATGCAGTTAAATATTTTTGATACATTTTAATTTGTGATTAAAATGAAATGAAAAAAACAAGAACACGCATTTTCATCATCATCACTGATTGAGGACAATGTCACATATGGCTTCTATTCGTGCTATGTAAGCTACATATAAAATATCAAGTTACTTAATTAAAGGGTGTACACATTTTCTGATTCACTTTTATTTAAAAAAAAATGTTTTTAGTAACATACTTATTGCAGTCAAAATCAGACTGACAAACATTTAATGTATATCTTTATATCCCATTATTGATACTGAACAGTTTTTCAAGTCCACACTTTATACAGGGTTATTAACTTGGTAAATTTGTGTTAACATTGTGGCAATATTGGAGAAGGTCATAAAACATGTTGATTATAAGTAATATAGTTCACCAGCAGAGAAACAGTGTATAGCTCTATTATGATAGATGTATAAAAATAACAATAAATAATTAGTACATGTAGATGTATAGATATTTTAACTTAAAATATACTAGTAGACACGTAAGAAATATTTCAAAATGACGCTAAAAATATAATAATAATAATAATAATAATAATAATAATAAGAATAATAATAAGAATAAGAATAATAATAATAATAAAGTCAGTTGAAATTCTGTTTCCATTCTAGAATGATTGGTAATAGAACGTGGATCAGGGTATGGATACGTCTCTGTTAAGATGAAATGTCAAACAATCAAAATTAAGGAATATATCTTTAAAAAATTATATTATGAATTAATGAACCATGACTATAATCATATCAATGAAAATGATTCATAGCTTAAGCTTTCAAACTAAATGCTATAGCTATAAATTTAAGATTTTTTTTCCAAACATTAAACACAATTCGAATCTTGATTATACTGTTTGGAAAACTAATAATGTGTCTTTAAAAATATATTATTTCTGAAAGTAGGTACACCTTTACTTGACATCTTTGAAACTTCACAATTCATCTATAACAAAAAGTATTAAATGCGATTTACTAGTATACCTGAAGAGGCGATGTTTCACAATTGAGAAAAGCTCCTCCCTCCTCCCTCGTCTGTACGAAAAGTAACATGCTTTAGATGAACTCATTTCCGCTTCTTTCTTCCCCTCGGTACGTGCATGTTGTGAAAAAGGCACAGGTCATCGGCAAAGCTTAGAAGAACCTGCGAAGACCAGAACTTGTACATGCGAACCAGCTCCCGGTGTCCTTACTAAAGCCGAGGAAAGTATAGAGTCGGCACATGCGATGAGGATTGGTATTAGGGTGCGTTTCCCCTGGTATACGGTTAAACGGCTTGAACAGCGGCGCCCTTTGCTAGCTTAACAGGCCTTTTCAGGGATACCTCCTGTTTTTTTTATATATTCTCAGGTTACTGTTCATTTAGGTACTCACTGGCCGCCATACTACATACATACTTCATTCCCGCACGCTCTTCATGTGTTAAGAATGTCGTTAGCTCAATACATAGAGCGTTTGACTATGAATCGGGCACCCTGTATTTGATTCCCGGACGGTGCGGGTCACTTTCTTTGTGATAGATCATGAAATCCTTTCTCTGGTCATTCGCACTGTACCTTTGCTTTAACATGTACAGAAGTTATCAGTTGCTGGTTAACTGTTTGACAGCCTGCCCAGATGAACTGTGTTCGGGTGAATTTAATGTAGCTCACAGTCATGATTCGGAGGGTAAACTACTAAAACCACAACAGGATGTCGTCATTTCGCCGTTATGAATGAAGTTGTAAATTCATACGTAACGATGGGTACAAGCCCTAAATGAAAATATCGTCAATACAAACATCATAAACAATCATAAAAAAATCATACTTAAAGAATACAATTAGAAAACAATATCTTTGACAAAAATAATCGCTTCAACATTGCTCTTGAAAGGCACAATATGCCTCAGAAACAAATAATTTTTTGCTTTTTTCGAAAGGGCAAACATGAATTTTATAATGATTTTAAATAATGGTTTAAGAGAATGTTACATGCTTGTTACCTGAAGAAAGTAGCGATAAATGTAAAATAATTTGTTGATAAAGTAGCAAAATATAAACGAAGTAGTATTTAGACTTCCATACAAATTATTAATTCACTATAACTGAAAAAGATGGTTCAGGTAATTGGCCAATGAGTAATTCTTTTGATACTATAAAAGTACACCAAAATTTAAAACTTTTGAGAAGTAATAATAAAAGCTTTAACTCATAATCAATTTCAAGCAGTAACAAAAAAAAAATAGTTTCATTTTCCAAAGATTATTACAAAAAAAAAATGTTTCAATATGATTCTTACACAATATCGTTTCACACAGTTTAATTAACAAGTATGAAAGTAGTTATTACATATAGATTGGCATTAAAACCCAGGATGATAGTTTAATTCTAACGGTCAAACAACGTCATTCGGGCTAATCAGAAAATTGAATCGTTACATTTTAATTTTTAGATTTATAATAATAAATGGTCGAAGTTCAACCTGCTTCTACAGCAAAAACGTACATTTGCGTCCCATATATGTAAATTTTGCTTTATGCGTTGAAAGTTGCCACGTTAACGTGGAACCCATGTTTATGAATTGTAATTCAAGACATAAACGAAGGAATCGAGCACGTTCAAACAACAGCACTGTTATTCAACGTTTACAGACCTAATAATCATTAGATATAATTTTCTTGCTGTGACAGATACCACTTTTAAATAAGTAAACTATAGGAGAATCATTTTAATTTTGTCACTGCGAGCTATATACAATAGGACGGAATACCTTTTTTTCGAAATTGGATGTTAAGATCCAACGTACACATCTTACGTGAGCTGAACACCTGAATACGATTTCAACCAACGTAAACTGGTTAGCGCATGCCATATAAATATAGCATTACGTCGTTAACTGTATACGGTGCAGTATTAATCCCAGCAAACGCATGACGTCGGCTCAACGTCAGATTAACGTCGGGTTCTCGCTTGTAATAAAATTAAAACAAATAATATAAACAGTTAGGCGTCTAAAGTGTTTCCGAATATACGAATTGATTGTACATCAACAAGGTGAAACTGATCCATGTGCGCAAAACTACAATCAATTAAACTACAAATCAGCAATTCGCGATCCGTCAAGAAATTGAAAATTTAATTACCTTAAACCGCGGCGTGCTAAATTTGTGTCGAATCAACTTACCCTGATGGGAGCACTAGAATCGACTGTTGATATATCTTCAAAGATTAAAGGGTTCTCAGATAGAATTGTTAAATACAGTTTTCTCGCGGCGGAATGACGGCTTTTCCATCAATAGTTGTGAATTAAAGAGAATGTAAGGAATTGTTTACATTTTAAATGAATTTCAATGAATATTTTAATAGACTGCTTAAGTGTAGTTTTGTCATCCACTTCAGTGATATATTTATAATGCTATAGGTCAGACCGACCATATTGGATACAGATGTTTAATTTTCACGTGGTTAGGCCCCTTCATATGAAAGGCGTGGTTGAGGTAGGCCCTTAAGTGACCATATCTCGGTTTAAATGAAGTGGAAAAAATGGTTTAGCTGATAACATCTGGCCGTTGTTTTCTTTTTCTCTTTTTTTAAGTTAAATAATTATCCAATTTTTTTTTAATCTACGAAAGCTTTACATATAAAGAAAAAAATAAGGAAATCAAGTAAATTATCAACAGTTAGACAACTTTAATCCAAATGTTTCAAACTCGATTAGATATCGCGCATATCACCAATGTCTTGTATGATAATTTTTTCAGCAGAACCATATTGAAGCTATATTCTATAGTCTAGCCACTGATCAAATATTTCCCCATTTATAACAGTATCTATATCATATAAAAATTTACAATACTTATTTAT